ATAATAATAAATTATCTGGATTCAACATTTTCTCATTCACTGACCTGGAACAAGTATGCAGATCAGGAATTCACTGATTTAAAGGGGAGTGCAAATACACTCATCCCCACAGTTGGAGCGGGGAGGTGGGACACAGCAGCTGTCACACACCAGCTCTATTGATCGAGATCTGAGTGATCACAAACCACTGATTGCTCAGTTCCTGATCTCCCATCAGAGAGCCATGACTGTCAGTCTCTGCTCCCTGCAGGTATTCCCCCCTCCCTTGTCTTTGTTTCTCCAGTGCTCATTGGAAGGACAGACAGGGGAGGGGGCGGGCACAGCTGGCTCTAGAGAGGCAAAGCCAGCAGTCAATCAGGCCGTGTGGTGGATCCTGACAAAATTGTCAGGATCTTTCCTGGCTGCAGCGCGGATCTGCGCTGTCAACATATAGCGCACAATAGCCTGCTATATGCTGAGTTTTGGGTCACAGGAGTACATTAGTAAGAGATATTTTAAACATATGTGCTTTCAACCTTAAAAGAGAACTATGGCCATACATTTGTTGGCCATAGTTTTCTTTAGGGTCGCAGAAGGGCATTAACTAATGTTCTCCTGTGACCCAAAACTTTGTATATAGTGGGCTATGGCCCGCTTTATGCTGACAACTCAGAGCTGTGCTGCAACCGGGAAGGATCCTGCCCCATCCCACTTCTGTCCCTCCAGTCAGCGCTGGAGGGAAGAGGAGAGAATCCCTGCAGGGAGTGGTGACGGACAGTCATTGCTCTCTGCAAGGAGAAGATCGGGAACTGAGTGATCAGCAGTATGTGATCACTTCGTTCTTGATCAATAGAGCCAGTGTGTGACAGCTGCAGTGTCATACATTAGCTCTACATATGCAGATGAGTGTATTTCACTCTCCCCATAATTCTACGTGGGGAGAGTGGAGGATTTTACACTAACAAAATAGGTGTGGGCAACTCTATAATAATCCCCATGGCTTTGTAATAGGATGTCCAACAAGCTCATATTGGTATGCTGACTGGGTGTTCACAATCCTCTGGCCAGAGTTATATGTGTGCAGGACACAGTGCAGAGCTATCTATAACCCTTTATTACAAGTGCAATATAATATAATACCTACACTATCTCTGTATAGCACCAAAAATACTACAGTATATGTATGTGCCTACACCTATATATCAATATAATTCATATTACGATAGTCATTCACAAAAGAATTATTTGACAATGTGAACAGTGCATCTTCTGCACTATATATTAAAATCATATTATAATTTCTTAAAAGCAAGAGTGGGCATGATTTTTAACTTAATAAACATTTTAATCAGTCATTTTGTATGGGATTACACTATGTAGTTTTCTGTTCTTTACGCATTATATGTGTATTTGGAGGATGCAGTAACATTGGAAGCAGGGGACACCGTGCCCAGTGGATGTGATAGGACATATGCATGTATGACCTTTTATGACTTAAAGGTTCTGTATCAAGGGGGAGTTATGATCTTAAAAAGGAGTTATCTTCGTGGATTGCTTCCACCACAGTTGGTGAATTGTCATGTGGAGTGCAAAAGATTGGGATATCCAAAGTGGACTATAATAGGGGAAATTACCTGCCATTTGGACTTTTAGTCACGTATTTGGATTTACTTGTATTTAGGAATTTCGGTGTTTAAATTATCAAATAAATATTTTCTAACTGATTATGGCAATATTTATTATTTATATGTAAGTGCAGGCCGGCACATACAGTACATATAGTATCATTTATGTATTTTTGTTGTGGCCACTACAAAATTCATACCAGACCCTTATCCCAGATAGGGATCTGGTATGGATTTTAAGGAGGGACCGCACGCAAAACACAAAAAATAGCGATCCCCCTTCCCATCGGAGTGCCACCTTCAATTTAGAGTCCCACTTTACATCAGAGCCCCCACCTTTCCCATCAGAGTTCTCCTTTGCATCAGGAGCCCCCTTCTCACACTAGGAACCCCTGATTTCACATCAGATTCCCCCTTTACATCAGAACTCCCCTTTCATATCAGAGTCCCCCTGTTTCACATAGGGACCCCCTTCACATCATAAGCCTGCCTGCAAAATGAAAGACATGACACTGTGCGAAAATTTCAAGGCACCTCTGAAGAAGCCATGAGGGTGCCACGACACCCTGGTTCAGAAAGGCTGATCTAGAGATAGATAATATGGTAAATTGCACTTGTGAATATAGGATCATAAATAGTGGTGCAATATTTTTGCTAAAAACTATATTGGAAAGTATTCTTAAGTAGGCCAGACACTGGCAGATTTTTGTACGAATGTATATATGTCAGAACATTCAATCATGTCATCAGAGACTTGACAAATGTCTTTCAATATTTTATTTCGTTTTAACATTCAATTTTAGAATAAATTGAGTTTTCCGAACGAAAACCACATTCACTGTTCAAATTTTGTTTGTTCAAAAAAAGTTATCCATCCATCTTCGATTTTTTTTCTGCATTAAGGTTGAAAACGATCACTGATTTGACTTCATTAACTTTATATTATCTATAGAAAATGTAATCAACATTCGGAAATGAATATTTTCTAAGGCATTTCTACTGGTGTATGACCAGCTTTACTTTGTGCTGGCAGCTGAATAGTATAGATTCAGGTGTTATGTAGTGCGTGATGTTCATGATATGTTACATGTGTGCAGAGTCAGGTAGTTTTATACGTGGTGGAGCCTAATTTGACCCTAATACAGGCTTGTGTGTAAATGCGGCAAATTATATCAGAATGTGTTATTTATACAGTACAGACAGAATTTTCAGATTGTATTTTCCTTTATGGAAACGTATAAAAAGATGTCTTATAACTAGAAGCAGTTCATTACATTAAACTGTCTTGTTCTGTAATGTTGAAGACATTTCACTACTCATCCAAGTGGCTTGACAGTTCACATGAATGTCAGAAAATACCCCAGCATTTAGACTCATCTAAAATCAACCACCATGGAATATAGTAAGGCAGATGTTAATTGTCCAAGAACATGACATGAGGTTTGAAAATGTGTGAAACCACCCTGTTATATTTTCATAATTCAATCACTATGGTGCCATGAATTCTGGGACATGTGGTCATTGTTTGAGTTAGGTGTGAATTGTTCCGTACAGGAATAACAGCACTTGCTGACCTTCATGTCTAAAGCTGGCCACACACTTATACATTTTCTTTCAACCTGCGGGCTGAACGACAAAAAAAAATGGATTCCCCCATCCACGCTAAACAGTGTGGATGGGCGAATCTCCTGCTTGGGTATTGTATACTGACAGAGGCAGGTGTGCCGCTATCAGAATAACCGAAAAGTGACAGCAGCCAGTTGGCCAACCAGTTCCCTCTATTTTCTGATCTTATTATGCCAGACAGGTGGGTGCCAACAGGGCCACCCACTGAACGAATTTTGGCTGGTTCATCGAGAACCAGCCAAAGTTTCCACAGTGTATGGCCAGCTATATATATA